CACACACACACACCCATCCGTGGCCGCTGGCCATCTGCTGCTCTCTGTCACCCAGGGAAGGATGCATCGCTCGGGTTTCCTCTGATCAGCTCCTCGGAGGATCGCCTCCTGTGCAGGCTGTGGGGCATTGGTTAATCTTGTCTGGATAGCGGGAGCCCTCTCCTCTCCCTGGGCTGTCTTGGCCTTGTTACTTCGGTTTAGGGCAAACCCGAGCTAATTCCAGAGGTGGGTCGGTCCTGCGGGGAGTCCCACTCTGGACTGATGGCAGAGGGGAGCGCAGGTGGCAGTGGGGACGTGGGTCTGGAAATCCCTTCCTGAGGACCAGACTCAAAAGAGGTCTTCGCCAGGGCCAGCACCGGTGTTGAACTGAAGGCGGCTACATTTCTTTTTTGGAAATGCGGGGCTGAATGCCTTCGCCGGGTCGTGGAGAACAACCTCCATTGTTCGTTCTTAGTCCCCCCCCCCCCCCCGCCTTCCTCTCTCACGACTTTCAGGGAAAGGGGGTATCAGATCATGGAGAACAACGACCAAGCCTGCCACGTGTACTCCGGAGTCGATGTTGCAGAGGCTTCCCCGAGCAGGCTTTCCCCGAGAGACGAGCATAGTTGCCTGCCCGGGCCGCCACGTCTGAAGAGCCCATCAGACCTCGGTGTCCCGCGCCCTATCATCTGCCCACTCAGATACTCGATGAGACACTGCTCTTTAATTCTATGGATTGCTTCATTTTCACTGGCGTGTTGAGGGAGGCAGTAATTATTCCGATCCCCTGAAGCACAGAGGACGAAATCTTCTACACTGCAGTCTTTCACTCGATTGGTTTTTTTTTTTAATATGGGGGATTGTGGAAGGCGGAGGTTAGACACCACTCCCCCTCGGGTACCTGGGGAAAGAATCGAAACCGACCAAGAGGCGAGTACATGGGCTTGGGCAGAGATGGGGAACAGAGACAAAAACTGGCGTGTTTGTGGGGGTCCAGAGTTCAGCTCTGTGTCCGCTCAGATTCTTAGAGATAGACAAATACATAGAGAGAGAGATTTGTATAGGGGTATATATATATCCGCGTGTGTGTATACACACATATATATTTACTCAGATATATATATATTATATGTATATATAATTAAACCTTTTATATTACATTAAATTATAAATCTGAGTAAGTATGCTTATATATACAAACACCTATAGGATACATATACACCTGTACCATCTATCTATCTATCTACCTATCTAAGGATCTGAGTTGACACAGAGCTGAACCCTGGACTCCAGAGGCAAGAGCATTAGAGGCTTGTCCAGAGTTCAGCCCTGTTCTGACTCAGATTCTTATATATAAACAAGGTCATGCAGCTGGTCAGTGGCGGAGCAGGGAATGGTGTCCTGAGCCTTAGCAGCATTTTGTATTTGCTGATGAGACTCTGAGACAGAATAGGGCTGAACTGTGGACTAGCCTATAATGCTCTCTAATCCTCCCCGGAAGGGACCCGTTTCCCTGAGGTGGGGTGTGAATCCCTAACGTCTTCATCCGGCGCTGCAGGCCTGTTCCAGGTCAGAAGCTGCCGCTGGTTGTGCTGGAGCAGACGTGCTGGCGTTGTGAATTGCTCCCGGGACACACCAGCAGCCCACATGCTGGTCTCCCTTGCTCCTGATCTCTGGGCCTCAGATTTCCTTGAGGCAAAATGGACCGGGCCTGGGATTCTCCAGGGTAGCACTGTAGCAGGGGAAACGTGCAAGGTCCTCGTCTGCCCGCGTTGAACCGCAGCTCTTGGGGGCTGTGACATTCGGGTCCAAACACGCCCGGAAGGAGAAGAGATGGGAATGAAAGCTCATCGGAGAGACTGAGGTTCAAAGTTATGTTGAAGGAGTTATTCGAGGGCGACCCGTTTGGGGATTTTTGGGAGGAGCGATTCCGGAGTGGAAAAATACAGAGGACAGTTGAGATCATCAATCCTACACCATCAAGGCAATGGTGGGAGCTGCCGGCAGACGGGGGAGGGGGTGGGGTTCAGAGAAGCCATGTTCGGGATGCTGAAGGTCGAAATCAACGATTGTGCCACTATTGTATTAGCTGGCAGGTCCCTCCAGCTCATATGCTGATGTAACTGGACCCAGCCCTATTGACTATAGGGAGCTTCATTCCCTACCCCACCAATACATACACCTGCTGTAAAACTACCTTCCTAGAAATGGCCTGATTCTGCCAGGTGCTGACCATGTCAATGGGAACTAGTGGGAGCTACAGGTCCTTGGCACCTCTGGGGTGAGG